AAATTTTATCATTCATTTTTGTAATATTTTTTATATATTGCAAATCAGATCAATAGATTTTGCACAAAAACATACGCTTAATAATAGCAACAATTGTTTGTTTTAAATTGATTTATAAATATAGTAAATAATTCAATTACAATCTGGTTTTCATACGTTCAAACTTTATTAAACTAGATGCAAGTTTTTTACACTTATATGTTTTTGAACACAAACGAAGTAATAATTCATTCACTGATTGCCATTCACTGTAGAGTTTGATGAATGCCTTCCTTTTATACAACAATTAATACTTTATTTGTAAATAACGTGAACTCATATAATACTTATGTTACGGTAATCACAGAATATACATCATAATAATAATTAATGTATGATGATTTTTATTAATATTAATGCAGGTACATTTTATAATACTGACAATTTTTAGAGTAAAATGGTTATTCTTGGACTAAACAAATAAATTGTAATTAGCAAGTAATATAATTTTTTAAAAAATAATTATATGTATCTACTATAAGTAATTAATTTAATTATATAATAGATAATTATTAATTACAATGAGACGTAACAACTGAACGCAATATCATTTAGGGATACCTCACAAACTGAAACTATTTTAACGATCGCTACAATCAAATAAACCTACTGTACGTCAAATGAATGTTACCTTGGTACACTTGCGCTATAATACTTTGCTAGATATCTGCGCTTAGAAAAAGCCTCTATAATTTTAACGGTATTGCGAAATACTGTAATTGTATTTTATTCATGAAAATTGTACATGTCATTTTATTACCTAATTTAATTTCCATCAATACTGAAACATAAAAATATGTAGAATATAAAAAGCAGCATATTTTAACAATGCAGCACATTATATCTCGCGTACAGTTTCTCAGTGTAACAAGATGGATTTAAATTCATTTAGAAATATTTATTATAATTACATAATTTAATGTACAATTATACTATTGCCATTAATATTATATCTAATTATTTATCTAGATATTAAGAATTACGTAAATCAAATTAATGAATTAAAGCATTAGCTTTATTATTTATTTAACCAACGAGATTTTAAACGTCTGTTTAAATATAATTCAGATACTAAAAATTTTAAGTAATTATTTTAATTAAATTAATTAATAATTTATTCAAACCATTCATATAAATAGACATGAAATAAAATAAAACCGAAGGAATTAAGAGATTTAAACATTTATTAATATCTAATTAGCATTGTATTATACAAATAATTAGGAATAAATCTGTGGTTGTATATAAAAATGTATAACATTATTAGTTAAATTGTATTTTAATATACTTAATTGCCTTTAGGTTGTTTTACATCATATAATATATTTTATTACAGCCTCTGGATGTGATTGAAAGTTATAATTGTAGTCATGACATAAATTTAAGCTTTTGTCGATGTAATAATTGATACAATTTATATGTATTTTATGTTTACATTCATGAGTCTTCATCTAATATTCTTTACCAAAGAATACGATTCTTATGTTTTATTTATAACTTTATATCATTAGACTATACATGTATTAGATTATATGAAAATGATTACCTATTATAATATATTATTCTGTATACTACATGAAAACTGATTACTTGAGATACAATGCTTGAGATATAATTCACAATGTACTTACATAGAACATAATTATAAAGCGTTTCATATTTCAAGGTATTATTTTTTAAAGAATTGTCTATTGATTTTCAGGGCACTTATTATGGTAAATTAATACATAAATCCTTATAATAATCTTTATGTATTGTACATAATAACAATTATTTGTAAACTTATAACCATATATACAGACATCTCTTTCATATTTTTTTTATAAAACCTGATCTCTTTGTGAATTTGTTTTGAACAAAACCCAAATTGATTTATGCAAAAGTACTCCAAAATTGTTTTTTAAATAAATTTATTTTAAGTAAGTACTTGTTGTCAATCATTATGAACAAGTTTAATTAAATAGTTTAATTACACGTTCATAATATTTCATAATTACCTTAAGGTACTTATAGTGTTAAATAATATTGATTTGTTGTGCAGGATTTTGTGATAATAACATAAGTTGGCAAATATATAATAAGGTTTCATAATATTTACAGTGAAGTATTTTTCAAATTTGAGAATAATTTTAATATTTAATTAGAGAGAGAGAGAGAGAGAGAGAGAGAGAGAGAGAGAGAATCTCTTACGGTTTTCTACTAAAGTCTGTGACAAATCACCGGTTATTTTAGTATAGCATTTACAGTATTGTACAAAAAATCTATTATGATAGATAATATACATTAGATTATATTAAAATACATAATTAATTTAAACATTCATTAATTCTTTATTATTTATATGAGACTCAAAATATAGCATAAGTAACTTAAAGACAATAAGTTATTTACAAATCGTATAACTCTTTCAAAAGAGGTCCCGGATTTTTCACCGAATTCTTGGCCACAATATAACTATTAATTGTAAGTGTATTCACATTAAGTGATTCCTGAAGACAATTCATTAATCGCACAAATCTGTCCTCCGATTCTGACTTCGAGTTATGTTTTACTTCTAAATACCGTTTAAGTAAATACATGTATGTTTGCTGTTGTAGACTAGAGATAGAGATATAATAACTTAAACTAATCAGTTGTGTCTATAGGTAATAATTATGTACTCACTTAACAATATCTCTATACATCAGGTCTTGTATTTTTGGATTGAAGAACAATATTGCTGTTAACTATTTAATATAATTATTATCAATTTTAATAAATATGCCATCAATTAATTCTATATGAAAAATATATAATAAATAAATCAATACAATATCAATGAGATTAACATCGGTGTTATATTCCTGTTTAAGGTTTGTCATATATTTGCGGTGGGCGTCATAGAGACCACTATTGCCATCCTTTAACACATCCAACGGGATTTGAACCCCATTGACGGCATCCTTATGAATAATATTCAATTAATAATCAATTAATTCAAACAATCAAAATCTATTGCATGCCATACAATGGGAACCCTCCAGAATTCGCCCTCAAAATCAAATCGCAAAACAGTTGTCAGAGACATAATCTCCGAGAGGCCGGTCTTCAAGAGTGAAACCTTGTCCTCAGCGCACAGATCGTTGAAATCAGTAAAATTTGTGGACATTTTGACGATTTGCTTATATTTGGTTTCACTCCTCGTCTCTAATATGCAAATAAAGTCTGTATATGTGATCACTTTAGAGGTGCACCGAACCGCCCGATCCTTAATAGCCTCCATAGAGCTAAATAACTGCTTAAAACGGCTCAATTCAAACTCGTTGAAATTACATATTAGTCCTCTAATCATATTTGGTAATTGATTGTCAAAATTGCATTCCCTTTCATATGCGGGCATTAATTCATTGTTTGTCGAGACAATTGTTTTAGTGCATTTCAATCGCTTTCTTTGATACATGTATCTATGAGATTCACTCTCTTTTCCACAATACGATACTTTCTATAAGAAAATTAATAATAATTATTATTATCAAAAATACCGTATATTTACATATTCTCTCTCTCTCTCTCTCTCTCTCTCTTATAAAAACCTATGGTCAAATACACCTGATTATATAATATATAACTTATAATTTATATACCTCAACACATGTGACATTGCGGCGATTAAATGATTGACTGGACTCACACGTTAGGTCACCAAAGTTATCGTCTATATTATGTCTCTTATTATTATTTTTAACCATAATTTCCTTTTCTTTGTATGAGTAAAACAATCTCTATTTATAGACATAAAAACAATGTTATAAAATCATTTTATAAATACTACATGTTTTTAAATGTACATCATTTAACATTTTGAATAAATAATTATGGGAATCCTATTGAGACAATACAAAACTATAATTTAGTTAAATAATTAGACTAATAATTAATTTTTCTTAATTTATGTAATAATTTGCTAAACAATGCATTGAAAAGTCGCTCACTTTCTTCATTCCGATGGCAAAACATTTATCAATTCTACACTTTTTGCAAAATTTTCGCGTTATTTGATTGACAACACATTGATTACCTTCAATGCAAACTAAATCCTAAAATAATATTAAACTATTAATTATATCGACAATAATTCAATTCATAAATGAGTCAAACCTGAGCTCTGGTGGCATTTCTCCGGAAGAATACCCGACAGGACTCACACGTAAGGGCACCGAAATTGTTGGCTACAAAAGTATTTAAATTATAGTAATATATAATAAATCAGTTACTAAACAGCAATTAAATATTTATTGTAAATTTTTATAAATAGATTTAAACATTAGATAATTTTACACAATAACATATAAAAACTATATCTCATACTCAATGCTTTATCCTTACAAACGGCACATATTTTATCACTCATTGTTACACAGAATCTTATAATTCACAAAATTATACAAATAATTATTGGTTGGAAAGTCTGCTTAACAATAAAATTTAACGGTTAATTATTTTACAAACAAATAGTAAAAGTAATATTTTGTAAATACACTAAATTATTACAATAATATTACAATACTGTATATTACAAATTGGTTAATGTATTTAAACGTCAAATCCTTTAATGTCATACACTTTATAAATATTCTCCTTTTATAACAAGTGTTGGTGAAAATTACCTAATTTGTTGATGACATGTATCTTTATTTATTCTATGACAACCATAGATAAGTTTATGAAATTGATATTTATTTTATCACAATTTGCACTAAAATTTCAATGTTAATTAAATTGAATTGATTATAATTAAATGTAAAAAATAATGTTTGGTGTTTGGATTTTTTAAATTTTATTAAAACAATGTAATTTATTTCTATATATAATAAATATTACATATTATGATAACGTTGGGAATTATAACTTAAAATTGTTAAATAATCATGGTTAAGTAATAACCATTTAGTTAGCTTATTTTGAACTACTGTTATAGTAATGCTGTCAACAAGTTAAGAGCTTGGTTACTTAGAAAACGTCTCGTTTATCAAAATGTACCAATAATTTACACATTGTATAACTCTTTCATAAGAGGTCCCGGATTTTTAGCCGTAGTATTGAACTCAATATAATTTTTGACGGATAGCGGACTCACAACATATAAATCCTGCAAACAATTCATTAAACGCCCGAAACGTGTCTCGGATTCTGACTTCGAGTTGTGTTTAATCTCTAAATACCGTTGAAGTAAATACATGTATGTTTTCCGTTGGAGTCTATATAGGAATACAGTTAATCACAAGAATGACTTGTATTTACAGTTAATGATTATAAACTTACCTAATAATGTCTCTATTCATCAAATTTTGTACGTTTGGATTAAAGAGCAATATTGCGGTTAACTATTAAAAATAATATTGGTCAAATTAAATAACTAATTAAAAATGTATAAACAAAACATAATTACAATATCAATGAGATTAAAATCGGAATCGAATTCCTGATTAAGATTTATCATAAATTTCCGGCATTCATCATATATACCATATTTGGCACACTTTAGCAAATTTAACGGCAATTTAATCGCATTTTCATTATCCTAAATAACCATATATTTCAACAATTATTATTATTAACAAATGACACAAAACAATCAAAATCAATTGCATGCCATACAATGGGAACCCTCCAGAATTCGCCCTCAAAATCAAATCTCAAGACAGTTGTCAGAGCCATCAGCTCCGAGAGGCCGGTCTTCAAGAGTGAAACCTTGTCCTCAGCGCACAGATCGTTGAATTCAGTAATATTTGTGGCCATTTTGACAAATTGTTTATATTTCAGTTCATTCCAAGTCTCTGTTATACGAATATAATCTGTATATGTGGTGCAATTAGATGTGCACCGAACCACCGGGTCCTTTATCTCATTCATAAAGCTAAACAGTTGCTTAAAGCGACCCTGTTCAAACTGGTTAAAATCAAATATTACTCCTCTAATTATACATGGTATTTGGTCGACAAAAATCGGTTCCCTAGTGTAAACGGGTATCAATTCATTAGTTGTCGAGACAATTGGGTCCATAATTTTCACTCGCTTTCGTCGATATCCATACAATGTTTTATGTTTCCTATCATTATTTCTAACCATATCTTCCCGTTCTTTGAATGAGCAAAACAGCCCCTGTTTATGAAAAACACAATTTTATTTTAATAACATTTTATGAGATTTAATATTAAATATATTTTTCAATTCATTTATATAACTTTACTATAAATACAATATATTTTTAAACAATGCATTAAATAGTTACTCACTTTCTTCATTCCGATGGCAAAACATTTATCAATTCTACACTTTTTGCAGAATTGTCGTGATTTTTGATTGACAACACATTTATTTTTAAAAATACAAACAAAATCCTAAATATATAATAAAATATATAAATATATTCTTAATTATATAAAACTAAATAAATGAAAGAAAACCTGAATCTTGTTTGCATTTCTCCTAAAGAATTGCCGACAGGGCTCGCAGGTTAGGGCACCGAAGTTAGTGCCTAAATTGTAAATAAAATACAATATTAATTAATTCTTATAAATATAAATATTAGTAATTAATAGGAATAATATAATTAACACATTAAAATAAAACCTATTTTATTTAATTAATAATTAATAAATAATCCATACTCAATGCTTTATCCCCACAAACTGCACATATTTTATCACTCATTTTTATAAAAATAATTCACAAAATTAATCAAATAATTACACGTAAATATTTTCATTAATATTATTAACAATTGTTTGTTTAAATTTATTTTATTAACATAAACTTAAATAATATATAATAAACTTATTTGTATTGATAAATGTAAACAACATTTAATTTCCTTAAACAAATACAGTAATAATTTATTCACTGATTGCCATTCACTGTATATATTGATTGAATGTCTACCTCTTATACAGTAAATGTTTTACGAAACAAATAATAATCTATTGATAAAATATATTTATCTATATATTTTTCCAGGATATAACATTACAATATAACATAGAAATAATTACTTAAATTATAAATTAACTCAAAATATTTTATTAACTTATTAGTTATAACACAAAAGTTATACAGTTATAATAGTTTGTATAATAACTAATTAGTTATATAATAAATTATTAATAACCAATATATTAAAAATAAATACAAAATGTTAAATTATAATTATTTAATACAAATCACAATTAACCATAATTAAACAATGGAATAATAATAAGCAATATATTTACAAATTGTGTAACTCCTTCATGAGAGGTCGCGGACTTTTGACCGGAGTCTCGATTTCAATGTAATTATTTACGTGAAGCGGTTTAACGGCATATAATTCCTGCAAACAATTCATTAATCGCTTGAATCGTGTCTCCGATTCTGACTTTGAATTGTATTTAATCTCTAAATAGCGTTGAAGTAAATACATGTATGTCTGCTGTTGTAATCTACGGTATACATGCAAATTAAATTTAATTATTAAATTATAGTTTGTAATTATATAATAAAAAATAAACTTACCTAACTATATCTTTATAAATTAAATTTTGTAATTTCGGATTAAAAAGTAATATTGCTGTCAACTAATTGAGATAATGTTGGTCAATTAAATATTAAATAATTTTAAAATGTGAAATAAACAATTACAATATCAACGAGATTAATATCGGTGTCGTATTCATGTTTTAGGTTTATCATAAACTTGCGGTGAGCCGTATAGAGGAGACCACTTTTGCCCACTTTTAGCACTTCCAACGGAACCCTCACACCATAATTGTGCTAAACAATGGCATTCAAACAATTATCAATTGATTCATACAATCATTGCTTATTTCATGCCATACAATGGGAACCCTCCAGAATTCGCCCTCAAAATCAAAGCCCAAAACAGTTGTCAAACACATTATGTCCGGAACGCCAGTCTTCAGGAGCGAAACCTTGTCCTCAGCGCACAGATCGTTGAATTCAGTGATATTTGTGGCCATTTTGACGATCCGTTTATATTTGTCTTCAATCCTGGCCTCTAAAATACTTATACCTTCAGTATATGTAGTCATTTCGGATGTGCACCGGACCACAGGATCCTTAACCACATTCATAGACATAAATAATTGCTTAAATCGACTCATTTCTAACTCGTTTAAATCAAATAATATTCCTCTAATCATATTTGGTATTTGGACCACAAAATTGGTCTCTATATCACTGATAGGCAACAACTCTGTAGTCGACGAGACTATGAGTTCAGTGTTTTTCACTCGCTTTTGTCGTTGTCTATGAGATTCGCTGTCTTTTCCAGAAGTAAACGATTCCTTTTAATATTAGAAACAATATAATTATAATTAAAATTAAATAATCGCTCACTTTTTTCATTCCAATGGCAAAACATTTATCAATTCTACACTTTTTGCAGAATTTTCTCGACTTTTGATTGACAACACATTTATTGCCAAAAATGCAAACAAAGTTCTAGAATTATGTCAATAATTATTAACAATACAATTAACAAATTCACAAAACCTGAGCTCTGGTGGCATTTCTCCTGAAGAATGTGCGACACGACTCACACGTAAGGGCACCGAAATTATGGTCTAAATAATGTATTTTATATTAAATTATTTATATAAAGTTAGATTAAAATATCTTGGAATAAATAAAATAAAATAAAATAAATTAGCTAAACCTGTGCAAAATTAAGCACTAATAATAACACATGATTTATTAATTAAATATACTTTACATACTTAGCGCTTTGTCTCCACAAACAGTACATATTTTATCACTCATTTTTGTGGTATTTAATTATAATTTACAAAATATTGTTTGAAATTATGGACGCAAATATTATTAATAACTACTAATGTACTGTATGAGTACTTTCTCTTTGGTTAATTGTTTTGCAAAAAGTAATGTTTCACTGCTATATAAATATTGATGAATTACTAGCTATTATTCAAGTGTTTTACGAAACAAATTACAATCTACTGATAAAATATATTTATCTCTAAATTATGACATTATATCATAGATATGAACATAAAATAACTATAACTTACTGTAGTTTACAACATACAGTGTATACATACAGTATATTAGCAAATTTATTTTAATCCTACATTTGAGAGAATCCCTTTTGAATTTATACATGTTAGAATCTAACTAGAGTATAGTTACTAGATTAACTGTTAAATTACCAACATGATTAAATAAAGGAATTTGACTTGAATGTTTACCGTAATGTTCTATGAAAAATTAAGCAAATAATATTAAAATTTATGGCAAACTAACCATAATTATTGAAATAATTGGAAGACATTATGTATAGTAATTATTTTATTATTAACTTTTAGTTAAAATTTTATACAGCACATACATTTACTTCTAATATAAGTATTAAATAATAAGAAGCATACTTTTAAATAAAAAATTTTAATTACAATATTTTATACAGACAAAACTTTAATAGAATTGTATATAAAGTATTAAAATGAATAAAGGACACTTATTTGAAATTGAAATTGAAATTTACCATATTTATTAATGTTATTATTGCTGTTATGATACAATTTCAGTGACCAATTCGTGCTTATTCTTAGGCTCAGCTGAGATGTAATTGTTTAACATTATTATATTCAAAGAATACATGTCTTGCAAGCAATTCATTAAACCAGTGAACCGTATCTCTGCCTCTGTTTTTGAGTTATGTTTTATTTCTAAATACCGTTTAAGTAAATAAATATATGTTTCCCTTTGAAGTCTATTAATAAATATATTATTATTAATTAATAATCTCAATCATAATGCATTAACTCTATGTAAACTAACCCAATTAGCTCTCTTCGTTTCAGGCTTGGTCGATTGGGATTAAATAATACGATAGCCATTAACTGTAAAACAAACACTTAATTATTATAAAACCCGTTATAAACAGCATTCAAAATATACTGACCATGTCCATAAGATTCATGTCTCGATTGTACTCATCGTTAAGTTTAACCATGAAACTTTTTTGTAGATCATAGAGATTCCATTGGCCATACTTTAACATATCTAACTTCAAAGTGGCCGCATTCTCCGAGTCCTACAAAATAGTTACCATCAAATCATACAATTTTGAAAATGATAAATTAAATATTACATACAATATAAACGGTCCAGAATTCGCCGTCAAAATTAAATGTGACAACACTTAAGAGGCATATAATCTCCGGACAACAGGTCTTCAATAGGACTATTTGGTCGGTTTCGCACAACTCGCTGAATGCGGTCATTGTTTTACACATTTTGATTATTCGCCGACACTTTATATCGGATCTGATTTGCAGGACTCGGAAGGCTTCGGGAAATGTGTTCGCCTCCGATGTTATGCTCACCACTGGATCTCTCATATAAAGCGCGGATTTAAACAAATCTCTCAATCCATTCATTTCTCTATCATTAAAATTAAAGACCAATCCTTTGATAATGTCTGGGATCTGATGAATGACACGGCTGTCGACGTGTCTAATGGTGTTGTTATTGTTGCTGTTGTTACTGAAGTTGCTCTCATCGCTCGGCCAGTAATGCGTTATATCTGTGGCCGAGCTTACAGTCGGCACCTGTGATGGCGTGCGCTCTTCAGGTCTCATATGTTTTCCACTATATTTGATAATTGTCTCCCTTTCTCTACGGGAGTGAGACTTTTCCTTTTAAACATAACAAGTATTTAATTATAGTTTAATCAAAAATAACATTCAAATAAAATGTCACAATCTTATCATAATCGATTTATTATTTTGTAAACATAATATACAATGAAAACAATTGATTCGTGACTCACTTTCTTCATTCCGATGGCAAAGCACTTATCAATTCTGCATTTTTTGCAAAATTTTCGCGTCAAACGACTCACAACACATTGATTGTGGAAAAAGCAAATAAATTCCTATAAATTGATTTAAATAATTACAATATTTATAAAATTTCAATTAATAAATTAGTAAAACCTGAGATCGGTGTGAATTTCTGCGGTAAAACGTGCGACAGGACTCGCAGGTAAGGGCACCGAAATTAGTGCCTAAATAAAGCATAAAATAAATTTAAATTGTGATATATTATTTCTAGTACAATTGTAAAAAATATAACTAGATTTATAACATACCCAATGCTCTGTCCCCACAAACGCCACACAATCTATCGCTCATTTTTGTGATCCTTCCTTAAAAATCACTAAATAAAACAAATAGGAATTATTTTAAAAATTTTGGTGTTTTAACAATAAAACAATGACTATTTTTGAAATGCACACATTTTGAATAACTTGGATGATAAATAATTATTAAATTATTAGATGTTTGCAAAATAGTTATATTATTAACAACTCGTTATCAATGTATTTGCACTTAATCTAAATGTAAGGTTTGTTTAAATACAACTTCTAAAACAATTCAAATGATAATTCAATGCCATTTACATTAACTATTAATGAATCTTTTCATCTAATTCAACATGTGTTTTACGGCAACAATTATATCCATAGATAAATATATATTTATACACTTTTGGTTATTATATCGTAATTATTTATATTTTTATAATACTTGACAATATCTTGAAAATAGTAAGAGAGCTAATTGGGTTAGTTTACATAGAGTTAATGCATTATGATTGAGATTATTAATTAATAATAATATATTTATTAATAGACTGAGAGAGAGAGAGAGAGAGAGAGAGAGAGAGAGAGTCAAACTCATGTATTTTAAAATTAATAAAACCAAACGAGATATTTGAACAAGATATTAATTTCTAATTACCTAGGTACCTAATCGTATTCCAGTAGTAAAAACCTAATTAGATTATTTTTAACTTAATGAGAATAATTTATTTGTATAAAGGTAAGCAGCTAAAATGTATGCCACCGAAATCAATATGGTACACCTGCGTTATTGAACAAGTTGCATGTTTCCTGAGTCTAAATCCAATAATAGTAATTATATAACAGTAGAATTATGCACTCAATTATTGTTAGAGTATATTTTACGCATGCAATATTGTACAAGTAATGCAAATTATATCGTTTAATAAAATCAATTTTAAACATCTACATGTTAAGAATAATATATTTTATAATACAAATTTAAATGTAGAATTAGAATTATTAAATACAATATGGTAATTATTAGTAAAATTTAACATAAACATTTTATTTTTATATGATAACAAGTTACAAATATTTAGTTAATTTCTAATATTTTGAACAAATTAAAGCAAAAGAAGTTTATAGCAGTAGAAACATGTGTTCACTAAAATAGCTATTAATTCTTGAATTCTTTGGACCATTGAATGAAATAAATACCAGAGAGAGAGAGAGAGAGAGAGAGAGAGATATCCGCTTCACGTAAATAATTATATTGAGGCCAAAACTCCCCTCAAAAATCCCGGTCCTCTCTCTAAAGAGTTATACGATCTGTAATTATTTATTCAATTATTATTAAATTGTATTATACAATAGTATGGATAATATAGTTAATCGTATGTTGTATAAAATACTCATTAAATGTTTTATCTATTTAATATTATCTAGATTAATGTTGTGAATTTAGTTAATCTAATGTACAAATACTTTGGGCACAATTTCCTTTGTAAATCATATGAATTTAGTTAACTTTGAATTTTATTTTATATTATTTAGAGCTATAATAATAATATACTTATGTTATAAACTATAAATTTATTTTAGCTAGATATAAGTTATTATAGAAATGTAATGTAAAAACACATGTAAATTCCAATATATCATTTCAATTCAACTTACAAATTAAAATATTCATTTTATAGTTAGCAACATTGTAATTTATAAATGACTCGTATTTGATTTAATAAATATATAATATGAATTATTTTTTCTCGCGATTAATTTTTAATATTTATTATTATCAACTTAAACAAGTTAATTAAAAATGAGTTTACTGTTGTAAAAATGTCCTATTTTTCAATTATTCTTTATATAATGGAATAGTTAATCTAATATTGTATCATTTTGATGGACTTACCAAGCTGGGATTAATGCTACTGACAAATATACACATATTTGTGAGCCTATTAGATTAGTTCATAGTAATTTAATGTGAATATTTTTTAATTAATTGTAATTAATTAATTCTTAATTCAAATATAAAAGTATTATAATTATAATAAAAGTTGTTTAAACAAAATGTTTAAATTTCCTCCATTAAAAATATTTAAGAAATACCCAGATGTGTAGCAGATACTGTATCCAATAAAACAATGTTAGTTATATAAAACAATTTTTCTTAATAATTAATATAAAATTTTGGTGAAAATTTTAAATTAAATAAAAAATTGTTTAATCATAAACATACTAAATATTTTTAAATCTTATAAATAAAATATTAAAAAATTGAATGTTAATGAGTTTGTAGTTTATGTAGACCTGGTGCTGGTTATGAAATGTAATACATTTATAATTTGTATTCATTATTATTTATATATTCTTAAGTTTCAAAGTAAAGTTTTACAATACTTACTAATGCTTTTATTTCTTAGTTCTTTCTTATGAATTGTGTAGAATATTCCTAAACAGAAATTCAATAGAATGTCGTGTTTTACAAGAATATTCTTATAATATAAAGTATATGTGATTATATTGATTATGTCTTAATAAGGATTTGTTTGTTATTTCAAGTGTATTGTAACATAATTAATGACAAATACTGCAAGAATTAAAAAATGTTTTATATTGTGATTATATTTTGAGTATTTGTCTCGTGAATTAATTTATTAGTTTTTATAGTAAATGTTGTAAAAGTTAAATAGTTGCATATTGTTTGACCAATACTTTACACATACGATATCGGAATTGAATTGATTCGGAACATTTTTATTGTCATTATTAAACTATAAATTAATTTTAGTAACTCCCATAATTCCCGGAACTAATAATCAATACAGAAAAATGCATGGATCTCACCATGGACAAAAAATTAACGTAATATTTGTTGTAAGGATTTTATTGTGCAATATTTTACACGCTTTTAAGTAATAAAATATATGCTGAATATAAAGAAATAAAATTTTAATTTCAAGTTTTGTCATTGAAGATTTAAACCATGTTCAATAATTGATTGAATGCTCATGGTTATATTGTGCATACATTTATTTTATTTATATTTGTAGATGTATGTTTTGAAAATTACTATATAACTTGTTTGTTTTGTTTAGCCCTATCAGCAATAAGTTATAACTTATTATAGAGACGTCATATTTATTGATATACTGTATGCTATGAAACATTGCGATAATTGAGTACACATTTTACAAGTCTACTGCTATAACAAATTGAAAAACTTTATTGTATTATAATAAATTCTACAATATATGCTTTAAGAAACATTAGTACAGGTAATTAAAAGTTTTATATAAATATTTGTGTCAATATAACTATTTAATATATAAGTGTATATAATACCAGTGGTAGTGTTTTATGTGTTAATATCGGTGGTTAACGTTTCGTTCATTTATTGATCCAAAGAATATACACATTATTAGCAAATATACATGTATTGGAAAATTAATCAATATTTTAGTGAACACTTGTTTATATTGAAGGAAATATTTGTTATTAAGTGTTAATTAAAAATAATTTCTAATGTATAAAAAGAAATGCTTCGATAAAAATGTCAAGGAAATATATTTAAATAGAAATATTAATTAATTAATTATGAAACTAAATGATATTATGTGCTTAATAAATATTCACAAACTTTGAACATTAATTAACATTTACTATTTGTTACAATTGCGATGAAGGACCTTATTTTGTGTATAAAATAAATAACAATAATTTCTAACAATGAGTGATAAGATTTGTTGTGTTTGTGGCGATGGGGCGGTCGGTATGTATAGTATTAATTAATTAAGTTAATAATATTTTTAATCAGTAAATACTCAAACATAACGCATAAAACAGGCCATAATTTCGGGGCCCTAACGTGTGAATCGTGTAGATCATTTTTTCGCCGCAATGCCACCCGGGCTCAGGTATACAAACTTATTAATTAAATTATGGTTAATTTAATGAGCATTTCTGTGGTCAGGAATATGTCTGCTTTTTTGGTGGCAAATGTGAGATAAACCGTTTGACGCGAAAATTTTGTAAAAAGTGCAGAATATATCAATGCTTTGCCGTCGGTATGAAAAAAGTAAGTGATTTTTACGAAATGTTTAAATATATTTGTAAAGTAATTATATGTTGTGTTTTGTCCGAAAGGATTCCTTGACTTATGGAGAATACGCTGAATATCACAGTCAGCGACGAAAGCGAGTGAAAACCACTGAACCCATTGTCTCGACTAACAATGAATTGATGCCATTCGAGGCAAACTCTGATTTAGTCCGACAAATACCATATGCCATCAGAGGACTCATATTTGAATTGAACGAGGTGGAATTTGGCAGATTTAAAACACTGTTTAGCACTCTGGAGATACTAAAAGATCCGGCCGTAAAGAGTACAGTAAAGATCACAGCAATGGCAGACATTTTTAGTATTTTAGAGGTGAGAAATGAACGCAAATATCAACAAATCGTGAAAATGTGTACGAATTTCAACGAATTCAGCGATTTGTGCGAAGACGACAAGATCTCACTCTTGAAGAGTAACGTTACGGAGATTTTCTTTTTGCTGACTGTTATGTACTTTGATTTTGAGGACGAATTCTGGACTATTGTTATTGTATGCCATATTGTGATTGTAATAATATGTTAATATTATGTAATAACTGTTTGAATACCACTGTTTAGGATAACGAAAGTGCATTTAAAATCCCGTTAACCTTTCTTAAAGCGGGCAAATGGGGTCTCTATGACGCCCACAGAAGGTTTATGATGAATCTAAAACAGGAATACGACAGCGATGTTAATCTCATTGATATTGTAATTAATAAATCAATTAAAAATATATATTTGTATTAATTTTTACAAATATTGTTTAAATAGTTGACCGCAATATTGCTCTTCAATCCAATGGGAAAGGATTTGGTTTATAAAGATAGTGTTAAGTGAGTTATCTTATTAATAGTAATAAACTTTCATTATATTATTTTTAAAACTAATAATTGAAACACAATTTTATCTAGATTTCAGCAAAAGACATATATTTATTTACTTCAACGGTATTTAGAGATTAAACACAACTCAAAGTCAGAATCGGAGACAAGATTTGTGCGATTAATGAATTGTTTGCAGGAATTATTTGCCGTAATTCCTCTTCATATCAATAATTATATAGCGGCCGAAACGCCGACTAAAAAACCGGGTCCACTCATCAAAGAGTTACTCAATGCTTAAATTATACTCAAATTATTTTAGGTTATAATAATAATATTGTTTCACGCATTCACAATAATATCTACACAATCAATATAATTTTACATTCAAATATTTAGATAATTTAACTTTATATTTTTACAAACTAATTATTGAATGAGAATCTCTCTCTCTCTCTCTCTCTCTCTCTCTCTCTCTCTCTGGTACCCTAAAAACCCATAGATAAGCCCACCCATGTATAAGCCGAATCATAAAATATCAAAAGTAAAATGTTCCCATAGATAAGCCGTTACCTATGTATAAGCCGAGTTTTATACCGGGCAATTTTTTAAATGTAACTTATGTACATTATTAGTCATTAGTTCTAATGTAAGTGTACAGAATGCAATGCCGGACAATAGCCATGATCATTTTATATATAAATAAGCAATTTGGAAAATTGAAAATTGATAATAGGAATTGTGAAAATATATACGCGGAACTATAGATAAGCTGAACTTATAGATAAGCCTTAAATTGGCTGTATTTTGTAATTAAACTATCTTAATAAATATGATTATTTAAATTTTAAATAAAAATTGTTTTTAATTAACATATTTTATGATTAAATTTGCCCATAAATTAGTCGAACCCATAGATAAGCCGATTTTCTATTTTATTTCATAAAATGCACTTTTTTCATTAGATAAGCCGCGGCGTATCTATGGGTTTTTAGGGTATTTATTTCATTCAATGATCCAAAGAATTCAAGAACTAATAGCTATTTTAGTGAACACATGTTTCTACTGCTATAAACTTCTTTTGCTTTAATTTGCTTAAAATATTAAGAATAAACTAAATATTTGTAACTTGTTATTATATAACAATGAAATGTTTATGTTATATTTTATTAATAATTTCCATATTGTATTTAATAATTCTAATCTATATGACAACATTACAATTTGTATTATAAAATATATCATTCTTAACAAGTACAGTAGATGTTTAAAATTGATTTTATTAAACGATATAACTTGCATTACTTGTACAATATTTCATGGGTAAAATATATACTGACAATAAGTAAGTGCATAATTCTACTATTATATAATTACTATTATTGGATTTAGACTCAGGAAACATGCAACTTGTTCAATAACGCAGGTGTACCATATTGATTTCGGTGGCATACATTTTAGCTGCTTATCTTTATACAAATAAATTATTCTCATTAAGTTAAAAATAATCTAATTAGGTTTTTACTACTGAAATACGATTAGGTAATTATAAATTAATATCTTGTTTAAATATCTCGTTTTGTTTTATTAATTTTAAAATATACGAGTTGGACTCTCTCTCTCTCTCTTACTATTTTCAAGATATTGTCAAGAATTATAAAAATATAAATACGTACGATATAATAACCAAAAGTGTATAAATATATATTTATCTATGGATATAATTGTTGCCGTAAAACACATGTTGAATTAGATAAAAAGATTCATTAATAGTTAATGTAAATGGCATTGAATTATCATTTGAATTGTTTTAGAAGTTGCATTTAAACAAACCTTACATTTAGATTAAGTGCAAATACATTGATAACGAGTTTTTAATAATATAACTATTTTGCAAACATCTAATAATTTAATAATTATTTATCATCCAAGTTATTCAAAATGTGTGCATTTCAAAAATAGTCATTGTTTTATCATTAAAACACCAAAACTTTTAAAATTATTCCGATTTGTTTTATTTAGTGATTTATAAGGAAGGATCACAAAAATGAGCGATAGATTGTGTGGCGTTTGTGGGGACAGAGCATTGGGTATGTAATAAATCCAGTTATATTTTTACAATTGGACTAGGGAAAAAATCAATTTTTTAATGATATAAGTTATATCACAATTTAAATAAATTTTATGCTTTATTTAGGCACTAATTTCGGTGCCCTTACCTGCGAGTCCTGTCGCACGTTTTACCGCAGAAATTCACACCGATCTCAGGTTTTACTAATTTATTAATTGAAATTTTATAAATATTGTAATTATTTAAAACAATTTATAGGAATTTATTTGCTTTTTCCACAATCAATGTGTTGTGAGTCGTTTGACCCGAAAATTTTGCAAAAAATGTAGAATTGATAAATGTTTTGCCATCGGAATGAAGAAAGTGAGACATGAATAAATTGTTTTCATTGTTTATCATGTTTACAAAATAATAAATCAATTATGATAAGATTGTGACATTTTATATGAATGTTATTTTTGATTAAACTATAATTAAATACTTGTTATGTTTCAAAGGAAAAGTCTCACTCCCGTAGAGAAAGGGAAACAATTATCAAATACAGTGGAAAACATATGAGACCTGAAGAGCGCACGCCATCACAGGTGCCAACTGTAAGCTCGGCCACAGATATAACGTATTACTGGCCGAGCGATGAGAGCAACTTCAGTAACAACAGCAACAATAACGACACCATTAGAAACGTCGACAGCAGTGTCATCCGTCAGATCCCAGACATTATCAAAGGATTGGTCTTTAATTTTAATGATAGAGAAATGAATGGATTGAGAGATTTGTTTAAATCCGCACTTTATATGAGAGATCCAGTGGTGAGCATAACATCGGAGGCGAACACATTTCCCGAAGCCTTCCGAGTCTTGCAAATCAGATCCGATATAAAGTGTCGGCGAATAATCAAAATGTGTAAAACGATGACCGCATTCAGCGAGTTGTGCGAAACCGACCAATTAATCCTATTGAAGACCTGTTGTCCGGAGATTATATGCCTCTTAAGTGTTGTCACATTTAATTTTGACGGCGAATTCTGGACCGTTTATATTGTATGTAATAAGTTATTTAATTTATCATTTTCAAAATTGTATGATTTGATGGTAACTATTTTGTAGGACTCGGAGAATGCGGCCACTTTGAAGTTAGATATGTTAAAGTACGGCCAATGGAATCTCTATGATCTACAAAAAAGTTTCATGGTTAAGCTTAACGATGAGTACAATCGAGACATGAATCTTATGGACATGGTCATTATATTTTGAATGGGGTAAATAACGGGTTTTATAATAATTAAGTGTTTGTTTTACAGTTAATGGCTATCGTATTATTTAATCCCAATCGACCAAGCCTAAAACAAAGAGAGCTAATAGGGTTAGTTTACATAGAGTTAATGGATTATGATTGAGATTATTAATTAATAATAATATATTTATTAATAGACTTCAAAGGGAGACATATATTTATTTACTAAAACGGTATTTAGAGATAAAACATAACTCAAAAACAGAGGCAGAGATTCGGTTCACGGGATTAATGAATTGCTTGCAAGACATGTATTCTTTGAATATAATAATGTTAAACAATTACATCTCAGCTGAGCCTAAGAATAAGCACGAATTGGTCACTGAAATTGTATCATAACAGCAATAATAACATTAATAAATATGGTAAATAAAATAAATACAAATAGCTTAATACTGTAGTTCAGCGATGTATAAATGATTTCAAATAAGTGTCCTTTATTAATTTTAATGATATACTGTATATACAATTCTATTAAAGTTTTGTCTGTATAAAATATTGTAATTAAAATTTTTTATTTAAAAGTATGCTTCTTATTATTTAATACTTATATTAGAAGTAAATGTATGTGCTGTATAAAATTTTAACTTAAAGTTAATAATAAAATAATTACTATACATAATGTCTTTCAATTATTTCAATAATTATGGTTAGTTTGCCATAAATTTCAATATTATTTGCTTAATTTTTCATAGAACATTACGGTAAACATTCAAGTCAAATTCCTTTATTTAATCATGTTGGTAATTTAACAATTAATCTAGTAACTATACTCTAGTTAGATTCTAACATGTATAAATTCAAAAGGGATTCTCTCAAATGTAAGATTAAAATAAATTTGATAATATTCTGTATGTATACACTGTATGTTGTAAACTATAGTAAGTTATATTAGTTATTTTATGTTCATATCTATGATATAATGTCATAATTCAACGATAAATATATTTTATCAGTAGATTGTAATTTGTTTCGTAAAACACTTGAATAATGGCTAGTAATTCATCAATATTTATATAGCAGTGAAACATTACTTTTTGCAAAACAATTAACCAAAGAGAGAGTACACATACAGTAGTTATTAATAATATTAATGACACTTTTTACGTCCATAATTTCAAACAATATTTTGTAAATTATAAGTAAATACCACAAAAATGAGTGATAAAATATGTACTGTTTGTGGAGACAAAGCGTTGAGTATGTAAAGTTTATTTAATTAATACATTATGTTTTATTATTAGTGCTTAATTTTGCACAATTTTAGCAAATAATAATATTTTAATATATATAAATAATTTATTATAAAATGCATTATTTAGACCATAATTTCGGTGCCCTTACGTGTGAGTCGTGTCGCACATTCTTCAGGAGAAATGCCACCAGAGCTGAGGTTTCATTAAGTTGTTTAATTGTAATTTAACTGTTAATAATTGTTTACATAATTGACATAATTTTAGGACTTTGTTTGTATTTTTGGCAATAAATGTGTTGTCAATCAAAAGTCGCGAAAATTTTGCAAAAAGTGTAGAATTGATAAATGTTTTGCCATCGGAATGAAGAAAGTGAGCGACTTTTCAATCCATTGTTTTATTGTTATTAAATTTAAATCTAAAAAACTTTAACAATATATTGAATATTAGAAAAGATGGAAAAATTTTATAACACTAATTATTGAATGATTTTTTGCAATATTTGTTTATTTAAATTCAATTATAATTATATTGTTTAAAATATTGAAAGGAATCGTTTACTTCTGGAAAAGACGACAAATCCCATAGACATCGACGAAAGCGAGTAAAAAACACTGAACTCATAGTCTCGTCGACCACAGAGTTGTTGCCTATCAGTGATATAGAGACCAATTTTGTGGTCCAAATACCAAATATGATTAGAGGAATATTATTTGATTTAAACGAGTTAGAAATGAGCCGATTTAAGCAATTATTTATGTCTATGAATGTGGTTAAGGATCCGGTCGTCCGCTGCACATCCGAAATGACTACATATACTGAAGGTATAAGTATTTTAGAGGCCAGGATTGAAGACAAATATAAACGGATCGTCAAAATGGCCACAAATATCACTGAATTCAACGATCTGTGCGCTGAGGATAAGGTTTCACTCCTGAAGACTGGCGTTCCGGACATAATGTGTTTGACAACTGTTTTGGGCTTTGATTTTGAGGGCGAATTCTGGAGGGTTCCCATTGTATGGCATGAAATACATTATGATTGTATGAATCAATTGGTAATTGTTTGAATGCCATTGTTTAGCACAATTATGGTGTGAGGGTTCCGTTGGAAGTGCTAAAAGTGGGCAAAAGTGGTCTCCTTTATACGGCTCACCGCAAGTTTATGATAAACCTAAAATATGAATACGACACCGATAGTAATCTTGTTGATATTGTAATTGTTAATTTTACATTTTAAAATTATTTAATATTTAATTGACCAACATTATCTCAATTAGTTGACAGCAATATTACTTTTCAATCCAAAATTACAAAATTTGATTTATAAAGATATAGTTAGGTAGGTTTATTTTTTATTATATATTTTTATATATTTATAAATTATAATTTAATAATTGAATATAATTTGCATGTATAGACTACAACAGCAGACATACATGTATTTACTTCAACGGTATTTAGAGATCAAACACAACTCGAAGTCAGAATCGGAGATACGATTTGTGCGATTAATGAATTGTTTGCAGGATTTATATGCCGTTAAACCGCTTCACGTGAATAATTACATTGAAATCGAGACTCCGGTCAAAAGTCCGCGACCTCTCATGAAGGAGTTACACAATTTGTAAATATATTGCTTATTATTATTGCATTGTTTAATTATAGCTAATTGTAATTTGTATTAAATAATTATAATTTAACATTTTGTATTTATTTTTAATATATTGGTTATTAATAATTTATTATACAACTAATTAGTTATTAATAATAAACGATTATAAAATATTTACAAACTAGTATAGTTGTATAACTTTTGTGTTATAACTAATAAGTTAATAAAATATTTTAATTTACGTAATTATTTCTATGTTATGTTGTAATGTTATATCCTGGATAAAATATAAAGATTATATAATTTTATAATAGATTACGATTTGTTTCGTAAAACATTTGCTGTATAAGAGGTAGACATTCAATCAATATATACAGTGAATGGCAATCAGTGAATGAATTATTACTGTATTTGTTTTAAGGAAATTAAATGTTGTTTACATTTATCAATACAAATAAGTTTATTATATAATATTTAAGTTTATGTTGATAAAATATATTTAAACAAACAATTGTTAATAACTGTAATATTAATGAAAATATTTACGTGTAATCATTTGATTAATTTTGTGAATTATTTTTATAAAAATGAGTGATAAAATATGTGCAGTTTGTGGGGATAAAGCATTGAGTATGGATTATTAATATATCATTTATTAAATAAAATAGGTTTTACATTGATGTGTTTTTATATTAAGTTATTTCTATTAACCAATATTTGTATTTATAAGAATTAATTAATATTGTATTTTATTTACAATTTAGGCCATAACTTCGGTGCCCTTACATGCGAGCCCTGTCGACAATTCTTTAGGAGAAATGCAAACAAGAATCAGGTTTTCTTTCATTTATTTAATTTTATATAATTAATATATTTATATATTTTATTATATATTTAGGATTTTGTTTGTATTTTTAAAAATAAATGTGTTGTCAATCAAAAGTCACGACAATTCTGCAAAAAGTGTAGAATTGATAAATGTTTTGCCATCGGAATGAAGAAAGTGAGTAACTATTTAATGCATTGTTTAAAATATATTGTATTTATAGTATATAAGTGAATTGAAAAATATATTTGATATTAAATCTCATAAAATGTTATTAAAATAAAATTGTGTTTTTCATAAACAGGGTCTGTTTTGTTCATTCAAAGAACGGGAAAATATGGTTAGAAATAATGATAGGAAACATAAATCATTGCATGGATATCGACGAAAGCGAGTGAAAATCATGGACACAATTGTGTCGACAACTGATGAGTTGATACCCGTTTACAATAAGGAACCGATTCTTGTTGACCAAATACCATGTATAATTAGAGGAGTAATATTTGATTTTAACCAGTTTGAACAGGGTCGCTTTAAGCAGCTATTTAGCTTTATGAATGAGATAAAGGACCCGGTGGTTCGGTGCACATCTAATTGCACCACATATACAGATTATATTCGTATAACAGAGACTTGGAATGAACTGAAATATAAACAATTTGTCAAAATGGCCACAAATATCACTGAATTCAACGATCTGTGCGCTGAGGACAAGGTTTCACTCTTGAAGACCGGCCTCTCGGAGCTGATGGCTCTGACAACTGTCTTGCGATTTGATTTTGAGGGCGAATTCTGGAGGGTTCCCATTGTATGGCATGCAATAGATTTGATTGTTTTGTGTCAATTGTTATTAATAATACTTGTTGAAATATATGGTTATTTAGGATAATGAAAATGCGATTAAATTGCCGTTAAATTTGCTAAAGTGTGCCAAATATGGTATATATGATGAATGTCGGAAATTTATGATAAATCTTAATCAGGAATTTGATTCCGATTTTAATCTAATTGATATTGTAATTATGTTTTGTTTATACATTTTTAATTAGTTGTTTAATTTGACCAATATTATTTTTAATAGTTAACCGCAATATTGCTCTTTAACCCAAACGTACAAAATTTGATGAATAGAGACATTATTAGGTAAGTTTATAATCATTAACTGTAAATACAAGTCATTGTTGTGATTAACTGTATTCCTATATACTGTAGACTCCAACAGAAGACATACATGTATTTACTTCAACGCTATTTAGAGATTAAACACAACTCGAAGTCAGAATCCGAGACTCGTTTCGGGCGTTTAATGAATTGTTTGCAGGATTTATATGTTGTGAGTCCGCTATCCGTCAAAAATTATATTGAGTTCAATACTACGGCTAAAAATCCGGGACCTCTTATGAAAGAGTTATACAATG